AATTACACGAATTCATATATGGAGCTTTAATAAGTTGTACTTACGCACAATCTACTTGTAATCTTGAGTTTTAAGTAATATGCATTAATAAACAGTATTTTACGCATAAAAAATAGTTTTTAAAAGTTTTTGTCAAATGTTTTATAATATAGTATAGATTATTTATTTTTTATAATTTAATTTAAGTTTAATAATGAAATAATTTATTTTTTGTTTAATAGTATAACATTTTATAAAGATGATAATTAAGTATTCTGTTAGAACTCAATGATTATCCTAATTATATTTTAGATTTTTTATATTCAAAATGAAATGTTTATCCTATATTTAATTATGTTTATCTGCAGTTAGTTACACGAATTCAGATATGAAGTTTTAATAAGTTGTACTTATGCAGAATCTACTTGTAATCTTGAGTTTTTAAGTAACATGCATTAATAAACAGTACTTTATGCATAAGAAGTGGTTTTTAAGAGTTTTTGTCAAATGTTTTATAATATAGTATAAATATACGGTAAATGCAACAAACAAACTCACACACCCTTCTCACTTTTTGGCGAGGTTTCTTGTGATTGTACAATAACTTTTTGTCCCATAACAGAGGTTATTATAAAAACCCCAACAAGAATCTTAACAAGAACTCCTACTGTAGATGCTCTTATAACAGATATATTAGTAAGACTAATTATAGAAATCGTCCAACCTGGCCCCAGCCTATTCACTATACTATTATATAACCACGGTATTTTATTTGAATACATAAAAAAAAACATTACGGTTCAATGGGTATCGTTTTATTATTTTATAACCACGATATTTGACGTCTGTTTTATTCAACTTAATTTATATTGCCTTCTTTAATCATAAACGTAACTTTGAAAAAGATTGATAACTTTTTATAAAATCGAACATGAGACATGATATTTATGAATCATGACGAACCTCTAGGGTTTGTCCATTTTCAAAGTCGTAATATCGATTGATTTATAGGAGTATTTCCAACAGATTTTATATAATTTCTTTAAAATATAAAATCAGTGGTCAAAATATCTAAAAATAATTGCATTTAACTTCAAGAGATTTTTTATTTTAGGCATTTCAGCATTCATTATATTATTAAGATATTTTTTAAATTTATTATTCTGATACACTCTTTTAAAATAACTAGAAGAGTACTCGCGCAATGCAGCGAGATACATC